AATTTCTAATGACGATTGTTTCATTCCTATCATTTCATCCACACTTGCCACCTTCAGCAAACTTGCCCTAGCATTCTTCAAAAATTTAGGATCACAAATCTGCAAACCTCAGAAGAACCTCGAGTGGAATTTTTTCTTCGACAAAGGTTGACCATAGCTATCCTAAAAGCGAGTTACATCATCTTCAATGGTAGTCTACTATCCAAAGAGCTATCCTAGACTCTTTCTACTTCTTATTTTTTTCCTCGATACCATCCCCGGTCTTTATTATTATTTAATTTTTCGTGCATATCTCTTTTGTCCCATTTTAATATAGATTATAATTATGCGCTCATATATTCATTATTTGTTTTTATAATAATACCATTTTTTTTATATTAAAAATATTCAAATTTATTAATTTCTATTATTATTTTTTTTAAATAAATTTTTGTAAATGACAAAAAGTGATTTAAAACTATTTTATTTTACATTAAAAATAGCTTATGTTTTTTTTCTTCAAAATTAGAAATTAAACACAGCCTTAAGTCCAAGTTCGATTTCATAAATTTAAAAATAAATATTTTAAAAAATAAAATTTTGACTTTGGATAAACCCTTAGATCATTCTTCATAGAAATAGAAATATATAATCATTTAATACAATTTAAAAAAAACTAAAATCCTTTATTTTCAATTTTCAAATAATAAATGCAGATTTCCCTGGAAATTTGCCGGTCTAATTTTTTAAGCATTCACTCTTCTCTTGGATGATATATACCCACCTTTTTTTTAAATATATATATTTTTTTTATAGTATCCATTTTAATATATATTTTTTAATCCTCTGTAAATTATATAAATTATTTTATAATGTTTTTTTTAAAAATAATAAAAAAGTCGAATATCATATAAAGTATTAAAAAAAACGAAAATATAATATTTTATGTTTTAATATATTTAAAAATGTTTGAAAAATATATAATAATACTATTAAAAAAAAAGAACGGAGATGGTGTGACGCAGGGAAACAAAAATGAAAAAGGGACGTAAATGTTGTCTAGGATAGTTCTTTGGCTAGAAGACTACCATTGAAACTGATATAATTAGCTTTGAGAATCGCTATGGATAATCGTTGACGAAGAAAAAAATCCTCTCGAGGTTCTTCTGAGAGTTTGCTGATTTGTGATCCTAAGTTTTTGAAAAATACTAAGGCGAGTTTGCCGAAGGTGCCAAGAGTGATTGATATGATTGGGATGAAACAATTATATTTATTTTTATAAAAATAAAGTGATTATCAACCAAATTATGAAAAGATTGCATTACCTTATAATATAAGTTATTTTATTGCATCTCAATAACAATAACATTCCCATACTGTTATCTCATCTAGAAAGACGATCAGAATGTATAAGATAAGCTATGACTAAATATCGTTCAACACTAGCGCTTGAAGTCAAATATACATATTTTTTATATAAGAAAAATCATCAAAAATATTCACTTGATTAATTTTAGATTTAAAAAAAATGCGTCTAAAGATTTTCAATAGTGTTATTAGAAAAAAATTAAGGTGGCTTTTTTTATCTGGCTATGGTCAATCTAAGATTATAAATTATGTAGGGGATAAGTAGCCTAAATGGCCATGATTGCTGACTGGCCAGACCACCTCTTTAACTTCATCTATTGAACCAATTTCTCTCAAAATTGGTTAAAATGTGATAGGATGAAATAAGTATTTTTTTAGCATGTCTTGATAAAACTTATAAATATATAGAAATAGATCATCCAGATTATAATTTATAAAATATTGAGTCTGATGATAAAATGAAAATTTAATATGAATTATTTATTGTATTTTTTAATTGTACTAATAATTCTTGAATAATGTATTATGGCCAGTTGAAACGTATCATGGAAGTGCTCCAGAAAATCAACTTTCAAATAAACTCACCTAGCTCTAATAGATAATTCAAATTTTATTTTAAAGATTAAGGATTGTGCTACTACACATTGATAGTTAATTTGTTTGATATTACTTTTAAATCCTCGTTGAAGCTACTAGCGTTGTTAGATGATAAAACCTTCTGGCACATCTTACAATGAAATTTATATCCTTTATTAATTTTTTATTGAGATTAAAATATTTTGCCAATTCAGGAAAAGGAAATTCCATATTAGCACCAGAAATTACTTTGCCGATATGATCTGTAGCAAAATTATCTTCAATATTAATCTCTATTGTCGATATGCAAAATATTTTGAAAACTGAATTTATAATGCAGATTTTTAAATATATAATTTCAAAATTAAATTAAGTAAAAAGATTATGATTTTAGAATTAATTTTATGTGTATTCGCTACTTTCGTATTAGTAGCGAGCTACCGCTCTTGCTATATTTTTTTAAAAGTAGCGCGCTAAAGCTACTGAAGAAACGCGCTACACTACTTTAACAACAATAAATAATTGCTTTTTCTAGACTAAATAGGCCTGAAAGATTATAAATAAAATTTTGTTGCGAGATTGTAAATGGTAGCTTATTATAAGATTCTTTTTATTAATATCACCAGAGCGGGTGGGCGAATATCGCTACCGAAGGCAGCGGAATTTTTTTAGGGAGGTCTGCCTCCAGCAAATTTTCTGCCATATAGACACTGATAACCTTTGCTGAATTGCTAAATCCACATTTTTGTGAATTTATTACCTGTATTACACTTTATATTTGGTTAGTTTGATTTATTTTGGTACATCCTGGGTAAGGTTATTTAGGATTTGAATCATTTGACACTGAACTAACCATATTCAAAAAGAGGTTGAGAAAAATCACAGAAACTGACGAATTCGCCAGCATGAGTGTCTTTATGATGTGGAAATAAAACTGTAGATATCTTTCTCTTTTTTCATTTAACAATTTATGAGCGAATGAAATTTCTTAATTAATATTCTTTTTTAAGAATTTGAAGGCTAAAAATATATGATGCCCCCCGCCTCCACCCGTAACTACGGCCCTATATCTCGCCTAAAATTATAACTAGCAAAAATTTCGTTTTTGTTCTAACTATTGTCGAAGTGGACTCGCTTGTGCGTTGGAAATTGTTTTATTTAATTTCTTGAAGAAAAATATTTTTTTATTTTTGAAAGTTCTCTATATATATTTCTTAAAACGTAGAAAGTAAACATATAAAAACACAATTAACTTTATAATATAAGATGAACCTACAAAAATAGAATTAATTATATATAAAAATGACCTCTATGAATTCTTTATAAAGGTAAAAAAATATAGAAGTATTTGACTCAATAGAAATATTCAAATAATTTTGTACAACCAGTCCTACCTCTAATAATTTTTTTAAAGGAAAAAACTTAAATTTGCCTAATTCTAAGCTTTAACCCTTTAGGTTCCCTCATAAAATTAATATGTTGCAACACGATATTTAGTAATTTTTTTATTGATTCTAGTATAATATAATATAAAACACACCAAAAAAGTTTTTTAATTCAAAATGGCGGCTCTCCCTGGTGGTTTTAAATTCATATCATTGACACCTTACGGAAACTTTCGAAACAGTTTCTATTTTTATTTAGACATAGTGGTACGTTGCATGATTTGCACGACCACCTTGTTCTTCTGGGATTTAACTTTGTACTACAGAAGGTACACCTTCGTGAGGTTCCTGCCTGAGGTTGATGAGCTGAGTTTTTTAGTCTAATTTCTGGAAGGATATAAGGTTTATTATTTTTTCTTTGCATTGATATATAATTATTATCATTATGAATATTATCATCCCTATTAACATTTTTACAGTATGCCAATTCGCTAGCAATTATTTGTCTTCGGAATTCTTTCGATGAGAGTTTATTATCTGTAAGAATATTGTATATTATGAATGAATTGATAATCGCCGCATCTATCAGCCAAAAGAATATTGGTAGCCACCATTTTCGCCACTTTCGCGAAATTTCATATAAAGACTTTAAATGGTCGAAATGGTCAACAGACCCCATATATTTATTATACATCTTTATCATTATTGGACATTTTACGTCAAATACTTCCCCTTTTTTATTTTTTCTCTTCACAGTATCCACTGATCTCGGATCAATATAATTGGACATTATAAATACGTCACGATTATCTCGCCATTTAATTATACTTATATTATTTTTGTCACTTCTCCAGTCAAACTCACCTCTTTTTAATTTTGTTTCCATATTCTTTATGGGCAAGTATCTCCTATTTTTGTTTAGTGTTCCGGTAGCATATATACCTTTCTTTTTTAAATCGATCAATTTCAATTTGATAAGGTGTATCCGATTCATAATCATCACTATCAATTTGGTAACGTGTATCCGATTCATAATCATCTTCGGAATCAGTGGATGAGTTGTCTAACGAAGAACCTTCAGATGGAATGTCCAGATAATCATCCATATATATAACAAGCTAAAATTATTGCGAAATGAGTTGGCAAAATTTATCAATTATTTAAAAAAATAAATATTAAAAATATTGTTGTTAAGTGGCAGTGGTTAGTTTAATATACCACATTAAAAAGATCAAAATAATATATAAATATTATTTATTTGAGCAAAAATAAATATTAGAAAGATAGATAAAATAGTGAGGAATATATATATTTAAAAATATTTGATAAATATACTTACTTATAATTAAAATTGGAATTTTAAGAAAAATCACCGTAAAAAACGTATTTTGAAATAAAGGTGCGAAAAAAAAAATTAAAAAGTAACTCCTCCACAAACATATGAAAAAGAATATCTTTTAATATATATTCGTGGTGGTTTCATTTTATATGATCAACTCCTTTAGAAGATATAAAGGTTAAAAGGTGGTTTTATATTTGCACTACCGCGACCGAAAGGGTTAAAAGAATTTGCAAATTTTAGGGTTTAAACTTAAAATCTTTTTACCGAGTTCGAACCGACTTCTACAAACTATTTTACAAATTTTAATCGGAATTGAATTAGGTGAATTGAGAAGATTCAAATAAAACGAGTTATTAATTTTAACATTGCATAATTTTTGATCATTCGTTTTTATTGCTTTTTTAATTGAAGATTAAACATTGTAATTAGTTATCATATAGCACAAAATTAATTTACAACAGATTCACAATAAATTATGGATGACAATGTGAGTAGTATTGTTTATAACATACATTTTATATAGTTCCCGTAGCGTAAAAAAAACCTGCTTTATATGAATGCAATACATATTTTTCATATTTTGAATTGACCAGATTTATAAAACTATTATATTTAACTATAAAAATAGGAATGTTTGGGGGAAAAATGTTTTAACATTAAGGTCCAACGAATTTAATATTAATTAAAATAGAAAAAAATATATATATGAAAGCAAGCCTGATAGATTATAGCATTAAATAACTAATGTTTTACAAATATATTAATTACATGTTTTCCATATAATTATTTAAATAATGAGATTTATCTATTAGGAGAATATTATTGTAAAAATAATATTTTTGCAGATAAAATATAAAAATAGTTCGTTCAATTTTTAATCTTCCAAATTTCTAAAGGCCTGTTGCATATTTTCTTGTTGATCGTTGAATTCTTGTTTAAGCTTGGCTTCTCCTTCTTTAAATGGGTCCTATAAATTTTGGTCGATAAATATGTATTCTTAAAAATATAGTTTAAAAAAGGAATTTTTAAAAATTGTCATTCTTATACTTTAAAATAGATCATGCATGAATGATGAGACAGGCAATGTATAAAAAACAAATAAAGAGATTACAAAAGTTAATAAAATTTTAACCCTTTTACATATAACCCAGAGCCCTCTAAGCCCACTCCTTTAAGCCAATTATAATTATGATGGGCAGGTATCAAGTATCGAGCCTGACCTGTTTATATTGATGGGTTAATATTAAATTATTCAGCTCTCTAAAGGTTTTAGTTGAATAACTTTTCGACGTAATTTTGCGCGAAAACCTTGCAAAATATATTTTATATTTTTTATAGTAAAAACTTTTATGTTTTTATAAACAATTTTTATTTAAGATTAATACTAAAAGCTCCTCGTGCATTTGTGTTTATTCAGAACTTTTATTACTATTTGGCTCTCTTATAAGTATTGAAAATATTACTACGTATAATTTACCTTTTTTAAAAAAAAATTAAGATGAGTTTTAAAAATTTATCTAATATGCTTTTACATTACCAATATTTCAAAATTTGTGAAAAAATCAGTCAAAAATATGATTATGTTATTGTATGGGAGGGTAGGTAAGCCTTTGTTTGGGCCTGCCAGATTTGCTTACTATAGATAATGTATTGTAGAGCACCCTTTTAAGAATTTCGGTAGAGATGGTGATGCATATTTAAAGCAACTTGTAAGCATATAAATACCCGAGAAAATGATTTATTTTCAATTGAGAATATTCTTTATTTCGTTTTTTACAGATATAAAACATAATTTACAACTTTACTCAAATACAATTCGGAAAATAACTTTGAAAACATTAAGCTTATATTAAAAAAAGGAAAATATTTGCTATCTAGATTTTTATTTAGCAGCAAATCTATTAGACCGATGTTATCTTGGCAAAACCTCGCCTACCCATGAATTTTCAACAACACTATATAGGTTAAGCAATCGTTTAAATCTAAATTTAGGGAATGGTAAATCCAGCTGATCGGTGCAAAAAGGATTTTTGGCAATGTTGTACTATATGATTGCAAATATTTCGCCATTAATCTGGTGGAAAGGGGTTTGTATACAAATCAAACACTGTATATTAGATGCAAAATTATTCTCAATCCACCATCCAGTGCAAATATGATCTGCTTTTGGAAAAACAATCGCAGATAAGAAATCGACTACACCATGAAAGAGTGAGAAAATTGGTTCAATCCGGTATAATCAACATCTACATGATGAAATTCTCACTCAAAAATGGGAACAACCAATGAAGAGTTATATATTTCTTCTAGGATGTATTTCTGATTCTGGGGATGATTTTACTATTTAATCTTAATACTACTTTAATAATATAAATTCATTTCTATTTGGACTTATATTGTTTATATTAATTGTATTATATATATCGTCGCCTAATAATTAGGTTATCATATCCACCTTTTTGTCAAAAATGCCTTTTTACTTAAATCAAATTTTTATAATTATACTATTCTATTTACATTAAAAAATCTGATATATTTATAAAATATGTTAAATTAGAGCCAATATACGGTTAGCCATCCTATTGAAAACAATATAAACCTAATTTTTAATGTTGCCCCCCTGTATAAATACAAAAAGTGAAGATGAAATAATCTAATTTTCAGGCGATGATAAATATATATAAATAAATTATGTTGAGTGTTTAACTTTCAATTTTCCAGGGAATTTCCCCAAGACTTAAATTCTCGGAAATTTTACATCAATTGGAAATCTTTAGTCCCTTTTTTCAATGTTCTCTTCCTAATATGTATCAAATACACCGCTCTAAATGTTATGTTTCAATGTAAGAGAGGCTAATAAGAAAGATTTGGAATGTAAGTGGTAGTGTTTAAATATCTTTGTCTAGTCTTCTTTGATAGAGATGGGAACAAAACACTTTGGATAGACATGAAATCAGAAACAATCTCTTAAAATGGCATTACAGTGGTTTAGAAAGATGGACGGATACTATTTTATTACATCAACTGCGACCATGTTATATTATAACGGCAGAGACTAACAAGAAAAAACATCGATGGTATACAAAAATTTTATAAGTGCTGTCTGTAATTTTCGATTACTTGGTATCAACCAATGGTGCAGCTCTAATATTTAGAGTTGATAATACTCCTTTCAGAGATCAATATTATCAGAATCTATCAAAAAAAATTATAAAATATTTAGCTATTTCTTTACCTTAAACTTCATATTGCTAAGAGCGTGAAGATTTTCGGCCAAAGAATCCTTTATGATAGCCCAAGTGATGCGTCTATTTTCGCTCTGGGCCGTGGTTTCGACTGAGTGCCTAGCCAGATCGTAAAACATTATGATGTTTTGGAGCATACCCACCGTTTTGTAGTAAGGACAGAATCTGTCGTATGAGCTGTAAGAGTTTTGTTGCAAGAAATCGTCTTTTATTATTTTTGCTATTTCCAGGGTTATCTTGTCAGCTTCTGCTAGGGACCCCTTTATATAATATTAAAAAAGTGAGCTAATATTTTTTTAAATATAAAAATTTTAAACCTTTCCAACCAATTGAACTATTTCAGAGAGATCTTCATCTTCTTGTAAAATTTCTTTGCACTAATAAATTTAAAGTAATATATTCTTTGTCGTAAGCTATTTCATTAAAATATCTAAATGATTTTAAAAAAATATGTAATTAGATGCAAATCATCTCAAGTACCTTAAAAAATTATTATTCACTCTAGTGAATAATCAAAAACTAGAGTAATTCAGTTAGATTAGACTTGATTTATAATTTTCAATTCGGATTTTTAAAAAAAATTCTTCTAATTACAAATACTTTTGTTGATAATTTTTCTGCCTTCGTTAAAATATTGTTACTTGTCAACGATCCAATAAATATCAGATCGGACTGTATCTAAAATAAATTTTCAGAACAAAAAAATCCTAAGATTAGATTGGTTCAAACCTCAATGTAAGGCTCTATCAGAAACCCTTATGGTTGTAAAAAATTTTTAGCGTAAAAAAAATAAATATTTTAAAAATTTTGAGCATCAATTAATTCGTTTTTTAAACATCAATAGCAATCCTTATTTCTCAAGGGATCATAAATTTAAAAAGCTGCAAATAATAAGATTAATATTATTATAAACTTTAGTTCTGAGTGGTATAAATTCGGGGTAATTTTTATCGTAATAATCATCTAACACTCTCAAATACTTGCTGTAACTTATCAACCAATTGACAGAGGGAAAATGTTTCCTCTGAGCTAACTTCTTGTCCAAACCCCAAAATACCTAAAATATATATTTTTTTTCAATATATAATAAGAATACATAGTGCTAGTGCTCCGATTTTACGAATCGAATATTTAATTTATTCGAATAATATTAGTAATGGTATCGAATAATAATTTTAAAAAATTATTTAATCTAAAATAATCGATTATTCGTATCTAATATGAACATTCTTATGAGAGCTATATACTACAATTACAATTAATATTAAGATTGATATAATAAGGAATGGTTAACTTGAACTATCCCCAAAGTAGCGGAAGTGACTGGATCAGAGAAATCGCCACCAGGAGGAGAAACTCTAAAAAATTTAATTATTTCTGAATTAATCAAAAAAGAAACATTATTTCAAAGTCGCGTAACGTTTGTAAATTGCTTGAAAAATATAATAAAATATACTTACTAAAAAAAATCAATGCTTAGTCGAGTATAAGCCGATAGATTATAATCGCTAAGTGTTTTTTACAAATCTTAAACATCAAAATCAGGAAAAGTTACAATAAAAAAACAGAGATAAATTATAATATATCAGGGGCCTGATTATTTAAAAGCGCCACCTTTAATAAATGATCCATAGTCAAAAAAGTAAAATATGAATAGATTTAAGTGAATTATTTAAATGTTAATTAATTACGAATGAATTTTGTTGCATCAAATGTATTCGCTTTTATAGTATGAATGCATCAAAAAATAATATATACAAATAAAACATTATGACTTACGCTCCAACTATGCTAACACTTCCTTCCCTTTCCGGATTTCCCAAACATTTAACACGACCGGCTCTTTCGTAAAAAGAAGCCAACCTAGCCCCCAAATAAGCTGGGTATCCAGAATCTATCGTTTATTGCATTTTTTACAATAATTAATAGTGCTTAAATAAAATATTTAATTATATGATTATCGTTAATGTAATCATTAATCGTAGCTCATAATTAAAAGATATTCTAGGTAAATAGATTTTTAAATTTAATAATTAATTACAATTGCCCCCATCCCCCAAAAAAATTAAAGAAAAATGTGATTATATTTATGTAATTGAGTTTTTGGCAGGGATCCGAAACCAGTTTGAACATTTTTATATATAAATCTACATTCAAATTATATGTTTTATTTGTGATATTATTCATTGAGCTCTAGAGGGTGGTTTCCTTTCTAGTGATCAAGATTTGCTCCGTTGTGCCTATTCATAGTTGTGTCACAATCAGTAATATTAGATGTGTAATATATAATACTATATGTAAATAATTTATATATTGGATTTAATTTTCTAGGTATTATAAGCTTAAAAATAATATAAATGTTTTTAAAATGGTAATATAGTAATCTTATAAAAATTGTGACTGACACTTATCGATCAAAATTGATTGATACTAAATATAATTTTAGCAATATACTAGTAAAAACTTTCATAAAATTTTATAAGCACGAAATCATGAGGTTCGAACCGGTTCTCGGGCATTTTAGCAGCTCAGTTCAGGTTCGGTTAGAATATATTTTAGCGGTTCAGATTAGATAAAAAATACCGGTTTAACGGTTGGGTTTGGATCCCTGGTTCTTAGTCTGTCAAATGCTGTTCTATATTATCATTAACTTTATCATAATGAAATTTATAATTCTATAAATATAACCTGCAGGCATTTCGGCCAACCTTCCAGATATTTCTCTCAAAGCTTCAGCCCACCTAGATGTTGAGTCAGCCATCATAGCTACATTGTAACCCATATCACGGAAATATTCGGCAAGTGTAATACCTATTTGTATGAAGTTTTAAAATAAATCATGAGAAATGCTATATTGCTTTTTCTTTCTTAGGGAAACAATATTATATAGTGAATATCCTAGGTTTTAGTAGCGTGTTTAGCATGATCCGGTTTCCGGTATTATTTTAGTGGTTAGATAGATTACCTCTTTTTCCTTAATCGATCATTAAAATAAAATACTCCTATTGTTTTATTCATAGAAGAAAAAAATTAATGTGTATATATTGAATTTAAATTAGGTTATAAAAATATCAACGCTGGTACATTGATTATCTTATAAAAAAATCTATTAAAGTTTTATATACTTTTAAAATATATTTACCCCCCCCCCCCAATATATATAATAAAATTATAGCATATTTTGGTCATAAAATTCATAAGCACATGCAGAAATGAGAGAAGTTTTTTACTACTAAAAAGAACAAAATATATCTTTAGAAGTATGAGATTAGGATTCAAATATACATAGATATCTTACTTCTCAAAACGATTTGTCCAAAAATTGGCTCAATTGCAAAGAAAATTAAATTCCAATTATGAAAGATGATCAAATATATATGAGCATTTATTCATTTATCTGTCATTCATTTCTATTTTCCATGAACTCAATTTTATAAATTAAAAAATAGGCTAATCCAATTCAATCTTTAGGCATGTGTAAAACAATGCTAACAAGCCTGAAGGTGGGAAATTTTTAGAACTATGAAGGCTGAGGTGTTAGTTACATATTCATAGCTCATATACAATTCATTTTTTCGTGGTTATATAAATTTAATATTTTGTAATATAATTTTTGTGCATTCATATTATTTATGTATTAGAAATTTTCAACCTTTATTATTTTTTGTATTAATACAAATCGACCTTATGATAGAAAATAAATGAATCAGACTAATAAGAGTGACGATAAAGAATTTTAACAAGATTATCTTGGTATTTATAATTTGGATGTTTGTTTTAAAGAATTTGTGAAGTATTATGTACTAATACCTCGTTCTAACTTGACTAATTTCGTTAGGAATTGAGCGAACTAATTAATTTGTTTGTTTAACATCCCATAAAATAGTTTTTTTTAAAAAAATAAAATTTATGTTACAAGTGGAACAAATATTTTATAAAATTCGAATCACATTTATTTCCTAACGTATTAATTGAATAAAATAATATGATTTTGAAATTAATTTATTGGTTACTAATTTTCAGTAAGGTATCTTGGAAATTATACATTTGATAACATTATAAAAAATGAAAACCGGTTTATTTAAATATTATTTTTTGTTTTAAAAATGTCAAAAAAATGCTTAAATTTCATACTATTAATTTTTTTAATAAATAATATTTTGTATAATTTTTTTTACAAAGTATAAAGAGAGAAAGCTACCTTTTGATAGTAGCCGTAATAAATAAACAATTCAAATCGCCCTTGAATTCATAGTGGCGCGATTTAGCCATGATAAATACAAAATACAATAAATAACATATCGCGTTTATAGTTACCGAGCGCGACTTAAGTTGCAAAAGCGAATCGCAGCGATTTTCAAAATACAAATCATTTTGTGTTTATCGCGTAATAATTTTTAAGAATTTGATATATTTTATTTCAAAACAAAATTTCAATAAAATATATCATTTACCAAAACCTAAGATATACATATATTAATAAAAACGAAATCTTTTTTTTTAGTTTTCTCTATTGCTATATTTATTGTTTAATAGGAAGTCTTTGCTGCTTTTTTTAAAATTTTTACTTTTCATTATCTATCATTCATTAACAAATAACTTAAGATAATTGCATCAAAATTATATTAAAAAGAAAAGTATGAGTAAAAAGGCAACTTGGGGAGGGGCAGGGCTAAAATGATTCATATTTTTTTTATGAAAAACAGACATGATTTTTTTTATTGTAAATGAGTATGAGGAAAAATGTAGCAATAACCAGTGTATATAGAAGCCTCCCTGGCAGCGACTGGCATGTTAGATGTATTGGCCACTAGGGTAGTACGTTTCATAATACTCTCGGACTTGCCTTCAATTTCTACCGTTAGCTGTGAATTAGTATTAATTTTTTTAAAAATATTGTTAAATGTGCAAAAGATTGTTTGAACGAAAAGATGGATAAATTAGATTGGAAAAGGTAATGTTATTATTTATATTTCTCGATAGAAATAGTTAATTCCTTTTTTAACAATCGGCGTAGAGAAATTAAAATAAACTAAAGAAGGTAGAAAAAATTGAAAAGGAAAATAAATATAGAACCGTAGGGAAATCCCTCAAAACTTCGGCCATCTCGTTTCCTCTTTCCCCACAACCTACGTATACTATGACATCCGAGTTAGAATATTTGCTAAGGGCTTGAGATATAACAGTTTTACCGCAACCAAAGGCGCCTGGAATTGCCGTGGTTCCACCCTGAACACAACTTTTTATAAAAATTATACTATTGGCATGCATTTTATTTTCAATCGCAAAATTGCATCACATACAAAAATTAAAGAGTAAAAGATGGGAAATCTGCTTTACCTCTTAATGATAAATCATGCGTATACTTAGCATGATTTATCATTTCTCTATAAAGTAAAATTATACTATATGAAATGAATCACATTTTAAATATTTTCGAGATAAAAAAAATCAGCCATAAATAAATATTTTTACGGAAATAAAGCATCCAATACTCTTTGACCAGTGAGTAGAGGAAAATTAGCTCCCAATTTTTCGGTAACTGGTCTCAATTGCCTTACTGGCCACACTTGAAGCATTGTGAATTTAGACTTTTCACCCTGAAATTCTGTCTCTAACACCACGTCCTTATAAATATTTGTTTAATTATTCAGATCAAAATAGTTGATTTAAGATAAATATTTTAGAGGGAAAATCAAATGATTATAAAATTGTAATTTAAAATTTTTAATAAGGATGTAAGGATCTTTGATTCGATATATCAAAATGACTTATAAAAATATACATTTAGTTAATAGCTATGACGTAATTATGAAGGACTATTAGAGGCTCGCTTGGGCGTCATCAAAATTTGCCCCTCAAAGATAATCTTGAAGCAAAAATATTAGTTTTTAAATTTTAAAACTAGCGACGTTATTGGTTACTTACAGCGTCTACATAAGCGGTGGGGTAGGAACATTATTAAATATTTAGATGAAATAGGGCAAAATATATTTCTGTAAAAATTAATATTTTTATTATAGACCTATTATAATACAATAATATTGCTAAACATCGACCAAATCTATATTGCATAATAGACATTATTTTTCAAATAATAATTTCTGGATCAGTTTCTGATATCCTTTTAAAAGTAATTTAAAAGTGTGAGCGATTCTATCAGTAAACTTGTATTCATGCCAAACAATATACTATAATAATGCATTCATTGTAAATGTGAGTTTTTTTAATTGAATTCAAATTCATGTTCTAAAAAACAACTCTTTTACGTTCACAATATTTTGATATTTGTTAGTAGAACATTAATAATTTAAATTATTCTTTTTAAAATTTATGAAGGGACTACTATTATAATTAAAAAGGTATAATTAATAATGTAGAAATATAGCTGCCAAAGGCGGGGAATTTTTTTAGGGGGAGGGGGTAGCTAGTCATGTAGACGCTGGTTATAGATATTAAAATCAGTCATTGGATTTCAATTTGATATCGGATCGACTTCTGAAAGGGTATAGTTACACCTTTCCATTTTATAGTCAGGTTACATTTATTTCAACTTACGCTAATGTCATAATTTCCCTGAGGTGCTACAAAAGTAACTTTGCCTTGGTATTTTGGGGGCAACATGATATGGTGCTTTAGAAGAGAATTTTCGTGAACCATGGCATATATATCGCCACCAGTTATATGGCTTCCTACCTTGTTTTTTGTAAATAATTATATTTTTATATACAAAGGTATAAAAAATGGTTTTACAAAGCAGAATATGATTACAGTAAGGCCAGCACAAATTAATCATGATGGGGGGGGGAGGGGTGGGTGGGTATATTAGAGATGTGGTGATAATATAATTCAACTTAAGGAATTTGCAACTCAATTAAATTTTTTCATTGAATGAAATATATTTAAAGTTAAACAAGTAAGTAGGATTAAAGATTTGAAAGATATGGGTCAGGGTTAAAATATATTAAAAATGGTTTTTAATAAAATTTAATCTGACAAATCATGTGATTTAAAATTTCCTTGAGTTGGACTAAAATCAAATGTGGCAACTATGTAGAAAGCTAGTCTAAATGTATGGGGAAAAAAATCGTCAGTACACGTAGAATTATTAAAAACCTCGATTCAACTAATTTTAAAAACACCTAAATCAAAATTCTAGACAACCAAATATGACAAAGTCTTGAAATTACTAAATGAGGGCCAAACCACTCTGCCATGTTTTGGCGAAAGTGCTAGGTAACATTTGTAGAGCTTACTGATTTAGTCAGTTTTTAGAAATTACATAAAACCTGGTTTTTAGCAAAAGAAAGTACAAGTAATAATACAAGTGGAAATTGGAGTCCACTAGGTTTTACAAATTATTGCTAAATCTGTTTAAACATAACAATGAATGACTATAGAAGATATAAAATCATTTTGTTTAATTATAATAAAATTAATTAAACATATTTATAGTAACAAATTAATAAAAGCAGAAAATTTATATTCAACTATTAATTAGTATGATACAAAAAATTATTTAAGAATAAGAATTGTATTTACTTTAATATTGGATAGAGGATTGAAGTCCCATTTTGTGTCCCTACTCAAGGCATGTATATTAATTCCTCGAGGAATGTATATACTTTGACTCATATCATGTATATATTGAAGAGGCCTTTGAATTCCATCAAAAATGTTACTCAATATCCCTGGACCTAGCTCAACTGATAATGGTTTACCTGTCCTCAATACAGGGTCTCCTACTGTAACACCAGCTTAAATTACATTATTTTTAAAAAACAATTTAAATAAATTTGGATTATATGTAAATTATATATAAATAATCAATAAATGTGCTGTTCATTCCATGTCAAATCTATCACGATTCACCAGACTCCTTGGGATTTGGTGAAATTTTAAACAAATATAAATATACCTACAAAAATGTGAATCAAATATTTGGTGCATTATTCATATTTATCTTGAGACAAACCAATTGAGAATGAACTAATTTAGAGGCTGGCTGCTAGCAGCCATATGGCCGCCCCAACCCCTATTGCTTCATTAGTTCATTCCAGAACCCGCAATGTCAGGATTGATAAGGATCCAAAGTTTAATGACAGGTAGTGAAAGTCACAGTCTGGTCTCTAGCTATTTTCATCATTAGAATTATATATTTTATCAGATGTCTGCACCTAATTATTTTATTAAGAATAGGGTTAAGTTATTTTGACAATGAATTATTCAGACAGTTTCATAAGAAATAGAACTACATAAATAATAACCAAAATATTTTAATTATAATACTGCTTATTTTGATTAATTTATTGTTTAAAAAATTATAAACAATTATTTTGTAACTTATTGCTGACGATACATTAAATTTGGTACTGCAGTGAACACATACTCTGTTTTTTATTGGGACTATAAGTAAAATGTTTCTTGGACAAACTTATGGTTTTCATATTGTAAAATAAAAATTAACAAAATCTAAAATAACTCCTCTAGAAAAATATCATAAAATAAAATATGCAAAAAAATTATATTAATTGAATAGTAAAGCAATAATAATAAAAGGCCGGTCCGGACCATAGTCTGGACTGTAAAAAATAAAAGATCAATAGGACCAGACCATTGACCTTCACTAATGACAGGGATACTGTAGTATTGTCCTTAGGTTGAGGTTCAGGGACAATACAAAGGGGGGTAAACAAAAATATATTATTGGTTTGTATAGTTATTCTGAGCATTGTCCATAAGTGATTAAAGAATCAAATAATTGCATTTCACCAGTTTAAAATTTTATAAAAAATAATGCGTTCTCCAATTTTTATAAAATTTTATGAAAATGTCACTATGACTAAGCTATATCTGTGTAAAAAAATTGGAAAACCAAGATTCGCTTTGAAAAATTAATAAAAATTAATAAAAATAATAAAAAACGAGGATTTTTGTTCATTATATAGCATATGTAATTAGTTTACAAGAAATGTGCATGGCTAACCTTTTTTGAAGGAAATTGTGAAAATCCTTAGTCAAAATCTCCTAATTTGATATTATATTTTCTAATATGTTTTTAAAAATTTCTTCAAAATGATTAATAATTTTAAATTAAAAAAAATAAGGTTCTAAAAATTTATAAAATTGTAAAAAGAAATATTAAAAGAAAAACAAATAAAATTTTCTTTATTACTTGATGAATTTTAAAAAAACAAATTACAGGTTTAGGTTTAATTAACATGGTATGATTTTAAAAATCTAGATTGATCATAGATCATTTTAAAAAATAAAAAACCCTGAGCCATTATAATTAAATGTTTACTTATTATAATATTTTGCTTAATATCATAGAAACTAGGTATCTAGAAGGTAATGATGTAGTTCATTAGTTAATATAAATGTTTTTCTTAATTTTTACCAAAACTGGGTTCGGAATAAAGCTATACCATTACACATCATATGGTGTATGTAGGCCTTTGGCTATGTTAAATTTTTCTTATAATTTTGTATTATAATTGTTAATTTAAAAGGTATAAACTTTTGCGATTATCTTTTCAAATTCTTCTGTATAATGATAAATTTTTAGGGGAGGGTGGGGGGGGGGGTATGAGGTGTTTAGATAGAAACTATTTTGCTGCTAAATATATTTATGAAAACAGGCATTTTGTGATGGAATTGATTATGTATATCTTAGTTTGTACAAAATTTCTTTTTAATTTCACAAGGGGTTATAAAAGAATCATATTTTATTATCGACTTGTTAAGGAATGACCCTGCAATAAAATCAGCCGATATAAAGAATGCAAAACTATAGAAATTCTGCACTAAAAGCTTTGCATTACCAATAATAAAATATTTTTAATGAAAAGCTTTTCCCATATCGAATATTTCCTATACAATAAATTTCATTTGAGGGAGCAGTTTTGAGGTGTATAGGCCAGATTAAAATATTTTAAGCATGTAAATCATAGTTTACAAATTTAAAATTTGACTAAAATCATTATTACATGTTTCCTCATATACTTGAATTGTTGCTAAATCATTTTCAAGCCTTATAATTTCACCAACTAGTTCTGAATGTCCAACTCTAACTAGTTCGTACATAGAAGCTCCTAACATTTTCTCAGCGATAACAACTAAATTTATATAATATTAAATATGGATTGATTTTAATATACCTGGACCAGATACCCCATAAACCTTTCCAAATTCTTGTTCTTTCTCCTCATCTCGCACTTTTGGAAGATTTTTAAACATTTTAAAATTAATTTATATTAATTCTATAGTAAGGCTTATATATTTAAGAACCCATATTTTTCAAAGGTTATATCAAAAATGGCTAGGAGCTATAAATATATTTCAAAAAAAATCAGATGGTTAATGGATATGTTATTTTATAATCCCTATAATTTAAAGTAATACTAAACGTTGCCTAGTCGGCAAATACAATGGATAAATTATTTTAATTTGATTTACACAGATCAGCAATTGAAATTGATTCAAATATATACATTATTTAAAAATTTATATCTTGTGTATAAAAATTTAACCTTCATAGAAATCGTTTAGCAGAGCTGGGCATTATAGCAAATACTTGTATCTAACTTGGATACAAGATCAGGAGCCTAATCAAGGGCAGAGGCGACCCCTTACATATTTGCCGGTTTTTATAACTATCACTTTAAGGCAATAAAAACCCTATCCCCCTCCCTACCTCGAAGTTACCATAGAGAAGAATTTGAAAGAGAAACTAGTAAAAGTTAATAACTTTTTAAATTACGGCGATAATTAAAAAACATTTTTATAAAAAAAGGTGAAAACTAAGAATTATTTTATAAGAATCTAATATAGCTAAAGGCTTACAATAAGTACTTCTTCAATAAAATTTAAGAGGAAAACTGATCTATAGCCCCCCCCCCCCCTCATAGCAAAATCCTGGATAATCTTATGACAAGACTTTTATATCTTGTTTATCATTTGACATATTAATAAGATAATTATACTATATCTATGATACCTTAATTTCAAAAGATTTTTTATCTTTTTCATTTTTTTTAACAGGAGACATATGGATATTTTTTTTATATCTTTGTTTAAAAAAACAATATCTACTTTTAATCTTCTTTTTTGTTTGATACATTATGTTAGTGTAAAAATAATAATATTTAGATATTCTTGATATTTTAATTGTATTTAAAAGAAAATATATAATTATGTCTCTTTTGGGTTTTGATTATATTTGTATAAATATATCGTAAGAATATTTTATTATAGGTGTCGAAATATTATTTTTGCTAGTTTTTTTGATAATTTAAAGATATTTCTAAACAATTTTAAATAATTTGGGATGGTTCCTCTGGGAAACAAACCCCTTACAACAATGGAAACATGTTTTGTTCTATGGAACTGTTTAGGCAAACCCAAATTTTTTGAATTATTACACAAAATTCTAGGACAGCAGTTGGGACTGCCATGCTATTCGATGCAATATTAAACATGATATTATATAGAACAATTTGGGTGAGTTTTAATTTCCCATATATTTTATAGATGACCTCTATTATTCGCTATAGATAAATTACAAAACAAATATGGGGTTTCTATCTTTTTGAGGTAACAATTTTAAAGTTTATAAACTTCCAATCTAAAAGATGCTCACACATTTTAAATGCTGAAAAGTATATGATAAAGTTCATTTAATTCGGAAAATCCCACATTTTTGGAGACAAACTCACATCTATATAATAAATTAAGATGGGAAGTTCCAACTAAATTCAAAGGTTAGGTTGCAAAATCTGTTAATAAAGCAGTAACCGTAAGAAAAAAACCCGACTAATTTATTCCCAACAATGATATATAGTTAGACAAATGATAAAAACTATTTATCCTTTAACCATTTGCAAACAAATATTGGTAAAAAGAATAAAATTAAATTGAAAGTGCTGAAATATTTATGGGATCCTTCCCAATGTAAATATTCAGAAATCAATAAGATATAATTCTTCTTTAATAAGATCCTGCTATCATTAGCTCTTTTGAAGGGAGTTTTTCTATTGCACGTGTAATTATAACAAATCAAAAAGATGACGTTTACATGAAACGCTTTAAAAAAAATTAGTATTATTAACAGTATTCATTATAATTTTGTTTTACCTTTTATATATTTGTTTTATTTAGAATATATTTGATTGTAGCCTTGTTAGACCCGCTGTTTCTATATGACTCCTATTTAATCGGTTAGAATTTAATTTAAATGCTCAGAAAAATTTTTTAAACTCTCAGAATAAATATTTAACGCTCAGAAAAAATATTGAATGCTCAAAATTAATTCTTAAAGCTCAGATAAAAACTGAATTCCTCGGTAAAAATAATAATTGCTCAGATATAAAAATAAAACGTACAGATTAAAAAAATAAATCGCTTAGAACTAGTAAAATTTAATTGCTAAGAAATATTTTTTCTTAGCACCATTATTTTAAGAATATGCATATTATAATTTTTCAAAATTTATTTTGGCCCCTTCTGGTTCCCTGTGAACAAAGATAACTGGTTACAAAGACCTATTTTCGAATTATTTATTTTATAAATATGGTAATGGTTAGATAAAATTGGGAAATGGTTAAACATTTTAAGTATTGTAACTACGGAAAACCTATTTGTAATAAAAATATTTTAGTAAAATATTCTTATATTCTGTTTTGGTTAAATTTACCATAAAATGTGCGAGTGCCAACATTTAAAAAAAATATAAACAATATTAAACTAAATCTATTCAAATTTCTCTTTAGTTCCCATTATTAATTATATAAAGTCCCATTCATATAAAAGATAAAAAAATTCAAAATCAAGATTTTTTTTACTGACTTTTTTTATTATATTTATAATTATATTAGTAAATTTAATTAAACTTTCATATCAAGATATTATATTATAACACCCCCCCCCCCCAGAAACAACCTACTATAGGGGGGGGGGCTGTGATGAAAAATGCAATTGTAATAAGGAGGTATGTAGTTATGACTATTGTTATTGAATAAAACTAAAGGGGTGTGGAGGGCAGGGGTGGTTGAACAGTAGTCTTGATTTGGATTTCCTTTTTTTGTAAAGTAAAATTTAGAGGGCGTAAATTTTTTGATGGGATATGAGAATATTTTTAATGGAGTAATATCATCATTGGCTTAGCTTAAGTAAGTAGAAGTCCCTTACCACACTCCTATACTAATCTGCGTCGGAACCTAGGGTGATTTTTAACAAACAATTCAATAATTCTCGCTTGATACCAATATTTAACATTTAAAAGTTGTCATACCCCCACTTCTCCGCATAAGTTAGATCATTTTAAGTAATGAATATGGTTGCGTATACTATATTGCATTAAAATTATCTATCTGTCTTATTTCCCTAATTCTTTTTTTGGGAGGAGAAAGGAAGATCTTTACTTTTTTAGTCTCAAACGATTGTTTAGTACGTTTACGAATCTGCCGTTTTAGAGAAAATTTTATAGGCAGTCATTTTTATCATAAAAGATCTATCCAGAATGAAAACGCATTGGATGACTATAAATAATTAATTTTCTCAAAGAGCGTCAATTAGCTTTGGCTAGAAAGCCGCATCAATTTTTGATTCACATCTTCCTTGATATCTATTAACGCATCGTAGAATTGTTCAAGTTTCTACCGAATTGGTTAAATTGTGGAAATTACCTAAATTTTATTTTCAAAAATAGCTCAAAACCTAATATTATTTTTTGCTAACACAGGTCAAAAATTTAATATTTAAATTAATAAATTGTTGATTTTTAATAAAAATTTAATTTATAAATAGAAAATAGAAAAATTATTTGTATTTGTAATTCGTATGAAATTAAAAGGTCGTTATAAATACTAAATACTTCCTAAAATATTCAAATAAATATAAACAAAAATACAAAAAAAGTATTTGTATTTAGTATTTTAAATACTGAGGTGAGAACTAATATATTTCTCTTTTCTCAAGACGAAGGTGATAGATTTAGGCTAAAATTAGGATACACCGTTTTTTGGCTGGCTTTTAATTGGCAAGAGTTGTTAAAAATATAACAATTACATAATTATAGAGAAATAAACTCAGCTGATTGTCATTAATAATTATTTAAATTTAATTAAACTAATATAATATAAATATACCAAATATTAAATATATATATTTTTTAAATTTGAAACAAATTGTCGTAATACTAATTACCGCTAATAATGCATCATAAAAGGATTATATAAAAGTTTGTTTTTTTAAATGTTTCTCGCAGAAATTTCTAAAATATCATTTATTTGCAAAAAAAATTTTTTGAAAAAAAAATTTATATCTACAAGTAAAATAACAAAAACCAAAAAAAAAACTTGAAATGAAATGGATTAGACATTTTAGAGATATAATAGCAGAAAAGTTTTTTTTGTTTCAAATAGCTTTTATAATCTCCTTACCTAAATTACGTATCTAAAATAAAAATTTACTATTCTTTTTTAAAAAAAATATTAATAAAATGTTTTATAAACTTTATTTTTTTATATATAATCAATTAATTCGGATATTTTTGTTTTTGTTTTTAAAAATTGCTGGATTTGACAATTTTATTTTTGGAAATAAATTTTGGGAGATTATTATATATAATGGCTCTATAATCAATTTATATTTTTTTTAAAAAGCAATACTTTATGGTATATAATATGTTTAAAAAAAATGACACTCTCATTTTTTTTCTTCTTTTTTGATAATTGGATAAAGAGCTAATAAAAAAGTATCAAATTCATAAATATTTAATTATTAAAAGGCAGTTTAGCATCGAAGATGTGTAGTGTAGGTTGATATATATGATAATCTTTCATATAAGTTTTCACACCCATAAAGAGGAAGTATGGTAGATATGCTAATATATAATTTCGAATTCCAACCTTCTAGGGATTCCTATTCAACTATTTTTTTTTAAATGTTTTAAACAGAATCCTTAAAAATCGCTTCCAAATTTCAGAGTATTTTCTTGGAATTTATATTTCAAATATATCATTTAAGATAAATATAATTGTAAGAAGAGTTTTAAGATAATAAATTTATTTTTTAGCTAATCGCCGAATCTTCTAATTTTAAACTGTTTGGATCGATCTTACTTGTTATAGTTAAAGAGAGTGATTTTTGAAAGAAGGTAAGTGGAATAAAATTACTTTTTACTTAATGATTATTTTTATGATAATGTCTTGGCTAAGATAAAAAGATATAATCAAAAAAAATATATTGGAAATTTATATAAAGGGGCAAAGGGTAAAGCATTTATGGATTCCTATGACGTTTAATTCCTCCTAATTTTTTAGCTTATAATTATTAAAAAATAATCATTACTCAATTTTTTTTTCGAT